CTGTATAGCAATAATAATACTTCAGTAGGTAATCACGATAATTTATACCAATGCAAGGCCATATCTTGAAGACATTACGACATACTGCTATCGGGACATCGGCAGAAGCGTTCGCTGTCATCTGATAAAATCGCGATATGAAAACTTTGTTCGGGAACCCACTTGGTAGATGTATATACATATGCTAATTATTTTAAACTAGCTAATCCCGCGCAGTTTCACCCGCTGCTCGGCTCCATTTAATCCTAACGAGATGTTTTATAGCCTATAGCACTCAGGAACATTGTAACTACCTATCAGTGAAGGAATTTTGGCAATCCAACCAGCGGTTCCAAATATTACCCCCTACATACAAACTTACAAATTTTACCTCTTTATAATATTAGTAAAGACAAAATTCTGCATGAGATTTTACTGTACTTACAGAGTGCAAAAGGAGACGGATACGCTTTCATATAATTTTGGGCCTAGATGTAAAAAGATGAAACTGGTGTCATTTGATAGCTACTATATTAACAAACAATTACTGAAAATTTCGCAGATATTGGCAATCTGGGAGCCGAGATATAAAAGATTTAAGAAAAGTGAGGTTAAGTAACAATCTATATATATTAGCCAATTTTTGAAGTGCGATAGTGATTTTTACCCGATTGCCGGAGGCGGGTAATGGTTTTAATAGTATACGTGTATATATTTGTATGTATTTATGTTTGTATATAAACAAATATCAAATATAAACCAGATGCATCCTTCGACTGCTCAGCATAGCTTACTTCTTGTTTACTTATGTCTTTTTAGTTTACTTAGCAGGCAAGGCTTATGCAGTAAGGCTCGCCAAGGAGGAGGTCAGCCTCCTCCTTTCGCCTCCTCCTTTGGCCATTTTCGAATCACTGCTAATATCATTTCGTCATCCAAAGCTCGACGTCCTAGTGTATTACAGCGACTAGTCGCTATGCCACAATTTACACAACGATCCATAATGTCGATCAATATCCTATCGGTAGGCTGTTCGTCGAGTCCAAAATATGCAAGTCCAAGTTCAACGTTTAAGCGAAGTTCTCCGTGTCCGGTATGGTAATGGTAGCAAGGCAAGGGTCGTAGAAGGAGGAAAATCAAAGGTCCGTGGGAAAGCCGGCCGAGGAAAATACCAATAAGAAAAATGGGAGGAAAATAAAAACACTCAGAACGCACACGCATAGACGATACGAAACGAGTGTCGATCGATGTCATGTCATACGAGTACTTTTTTTTTTTTTTTTTTTTGGAGTTTATGGCTCATACGAGTACATGTCAGAACTAGCACAGATTAAAAATACAATAATCGATTAGTAAAAAAGAATCGATAAAATATTTTTAATTATGTTGATATTTAAACTCTAAACTCAGTTTAATTATTTTAAATAAATAAATCATTCAGTGACATCATTTTCGTAAATAGTATGAACTCTGTTCGTTACAGAGTTATTAATTACAATTGAATCGATAATCCGATTACTTCGTAACCCTAACTAAATTGTTGGATTTTTCATTTCCCAGATTGTAAAATAAATTGATTTTTCACTATGTAAAATAGAAAAAAATAACCATTTTTTTAAGCCCTACTTCAACTTATTACGTGAGGGCCCAGAAGTCCCCGTCTCCTTTAAAACTCGGTTCAGCATAATGTAGATCAGATTATTAAGGCAATTCTTTTCAGGAATTCGTCCAAATCAATTTAGTTACGGTAAACGTAATCTTTTTCCTACTTATACATGTATAGGCGCTTTCTAAGTTTATTTAGACACCAATAACACAAGGAGAAGGAAAACTTCGTGAGGAAACCTAGACTGATCCCTACATACATAGAATGAAACACAGTCGCTTTCTGTTACTATATCCCCATGTATGCTTTCTGTTACTAAATCTTTAAAACTGCGCAACGGATTTTGATGCGGTTTTTTATAATAGATAGAGTGATTGAAGAGGATGGTTTATATGTATAATAATATCTATTAAATTATGTAGAAATTTAGTATCAGCATTGTACACTTAGGGCGGGTTTTGAGTTTGTAATATTTAAATGCTGATCCGTCTTCAGAAAACATGGCGATTAATGCTCAAATCTTCTCCGTGTGAGAAGAATGCCTCTGCTCAGCAGTGGGCACTTATAGGCTGATGATGATGACGTAACAGAATATTCTTTTCTACAAGGAACTATTGATACCTATGCGTTTCAAAGATGGAAAAGCTTTTTAACACTTTCTATCCAAAAAAGACCATTGAATTCGTATCAACACATACCTACATCAACAATTGGGTAGTTTCCTAGGTCAAAAATAAATTAATTCGACGCTTCTATACAATCAAATATTGAAAAATAACTATAGGTACTTTCATTCATCGATCCATCGATACACTGAATTTTAAGATATTTTTTAGCTTTTTTTAAAAGAAATAAGTAAGCTATTTGATGTACAAATACTATGACGTTATAGGTCAGCGTTTCACACAAATTTCATAGAAAAGTATCGTTTTTGACATTTGGATAAAAGTATTGAATTTGACTAGTTGGAAACTACCGTGTTCATCAATGCACTGTATATTTTTGGTTTATTTATTCCGCATATTAAGTGCTCACGCTACGTTATTTCCGTAGTCACTAGATGTTTTAGATGATCGTTCGTGTTAGTGAACCATATCGACAGTATTAGCATACAACCAGCTTATCGGGAAATGATACCGTCACGTACCGGCAACTCAAGGGGGGAAAATGTGGAAAATTCTGGTAAATGCAATGAGGCTTGGTTTTTTTTGTAACCTTGATTTCTATTCACGATGTTTTTTCTCATCTCTCCTTAGTCCTGTAACCCTAAAATCAGGGGTGGGAGGAGGAAATACCTTACTTATCAACATTCACCAAGCGGACTGGTGCTCTGTGTCAGGTCATCCCCTCCTCGCGTTTCCATCGCTCAAAACCACCAGTATCTGGGCTCACCCACATTATTATAGGCTATAAATCGATGCATAGAGAAGAAAATAATGAAATAATCTATGTATACTATATATTAAAAAATATTACAATTTAACAGATTTTAGAGTTGATTTTTGTTGGGTAATGAAGAGGCTACAGTACAATCACGAAATTATCAAAACATTGAAGTCCGGGTCGTCCCAAGGACATGAACATTTAGGGCGGCTTGACCGGAGTGATATCACGGTCTTAGAGAATACCGGCGTGAAACAACCATGAACAACAAGAGTCCAGGTCCAGGAGAGCAAGGATGGGGCCTCCGATAGAGGCCCCATCCTTGCTCTCCCTCATCCCTCTCTAATCCCTAAATCCGAAATTATAATCCCAAAAAGGCCGGCAACGTATTTGGCGTACCTACCTCGCCGATCAGAACCAGACCCGAGCGTACGGCGCGTAGTTCCGCGCGGGCCTCAAAGAGTCAATAGACAACCACAGACGGGGCCCTAAAGGGACGATGTTCGCAGGTTAAGCGCAATAATGTTCGGGTTTTTAATCAGAGAGAGTCTGACACTCCGTCTCGTCCTATCCTAGACGAGAGAAAATATTGGACGATTTTCCCTCCTTAATAAACAGAACCATTTCTTTTTTCTTTTTAACCCCCGACGCAAAAAGAGGGGTGTTATAAGTTTGACGTGTGTGTCTGTCTGTCTGTGGCATCATAGCTCCTGAACGAATAAAACGATTTAATTTTTTTTGTATTATATACTTTTTAAAGGCAGCTAATGATTTTTGTGACGGGGTATTTTTTACATTTTAATTTATATTTAGTTATTTGATGAAAATATCGTCCGGATGGTTAAACTATCAGAAGAATAAGCATTAATTAAACATATACAGGTAACAGAAAATTAAAACATAACCTAAATCATTGTTTACATATTTGTAAATACGAAACGAAAATGCGAACTCACTAATCTGTATGTAAGAATCTGATATAAAAACAATAAGAATGAATAATCATTGAGTTTTTAACGATAACCTATCAATAATACCTACTACATTTGTAAATACAATCTTAACTCAATAAGAATAGCATTCATTTTTAATCTAAATTGATAAGAAATACTGTATACAAATATGTGATGATGTATTTTTACGACTTGACATGTCATGACGAGTTTTTCTTTAATGGATTTTAGTTGTAGTAACTCTGAGCTTAATCCTAATTTGGTAGCCGGGGCTAGGTAAGCGCAATGAGGCGCCGCGACTTCGGCCCAGAGCAGGAGAAGGAACAGGGGGGGTTTTAGTTAGTGAGAGTCTGACACTCCCTCCCGCCCGACCCTGGGAGAGAGAACGCATTTGTTGTTTGTCCCCTCACAAAAAAATACCAAGTTGGAGGGGGTTAGCGTATCAAGCGCATTAAGGTATCGCAGCCCCGTCCTTGAGCAGGGAAGGAGAAGGAACGCGTTGGTTTTTAATAGCAAGAGTCTCACAATCACCTCCACTCTCTTTTTTTTTTTTTGAGGGCAATATCATCAAATGACTTTTCCCGCCGAGGAAGAGCCGAGAGGGAGTGTAAGACTCTTACTGACTAAAAATCCCCCGTTCCTTATCCGGCCTTCTGCAAAAAGCTTCTCAGGCCGCGGTGCCTTATTGCACTCGCCCTGAGTCTGAGACCCTGGCTGATTGCCTTGCAACCCCGGCTGAATCACCCCCACCCTGGGAGGGAGGAGACTTAAGATGACTTTTCCACAAAACAACGCTAATCATAAATGTGTTATTGTTATCAGAATGGTGTATGTTTTTACAACAACAATCTTGTTAACACATGTCCCGAAAGCACAATCGTAGCACTACCGCTTGACAGTTCAAAATGAACTTTATATGCACAGTTTTAAAGTCAAGAATTCAGAAGGGATTTTGTAACACGCTGTATAAAATACAGCATGGGATTTAACACACGATAACATTGCGAAAATAAACAGTATGAGACTGGTGATAAAGTTCAATATCGCATTAATTATTTACAAAGGAATAGTATGGAACTGACCTCACTGCCGTCCTGCTGCGCGTTGCACTTGCTGATGTTGAGGGTGCCGGAGATGAAGTCGTTCTGCACGTCCACTATCAGGAACGCGCTCACCGGACGCACGATCTATCAACAAAACGTCTATCTATACTAGGTCCTATAGGCGTCTATCTACAAGTAGGTATCACGCGGGTGTGAACCTCGCTGTCATTCGTTTTTAACAAACCGCAACGACATTGAATGATTTCCTTTATTATTCTAAAATAAAATAATCTGTTCTAAGGACCTTCTTATGGCCTTAGGAATAGCATAAAAAATTGGATAGTTTCCTAAATAACATTTCTCTCTGAAGCAAAAATGCTTGTATGACGTCTCAACTTGCTATATTTAATTGTCATGTAATTGTCAAGTCAAGTCCTCAAAAACACCCAAAATAGAAACACCCCATAGACTAGATCGTACCTAAATTGATTAAGGTAAATAGGACCAGAAAGTCTTTTTTTAAAGTGGGATAAAATAGATTAAATGTTTTTTTTTAAATCGGCTTTGTACAACATACATACATAACATATAACTCAAAATTGAAAAAAATTGAAAATGCCAAGTTCCACAGCCCTCCTTAAGACGTCGGATAAAAATTTTGCTGTTCAAAATTTTACAAGTACACATGTACAAACTTACGACTTTAATCCAATGGTTCCAGCAGAAAGTGAACTCCTCCTTATCAATGAATCCGTCCCCATTCTTATCGAATACTTGGAAGATGTGGCGCGCCCTCTCCTCGGACAGGGGGTAGATGTGGCCCTTGTCGTTACGGAACAGGGCCTTGCAGATCACGCGGAACTCATCCAGGCTTAGCTTCCCATCCCTGGGGAAAGGGAGGAGACATAATAATATTTGTATATAAGTTATTTACAAAATATACTTATAGAACTAAAACCTCTTTATATCTCAGTAGGTAAATGCCGTATGTTAATTGCTAAAATATGTACATTTATTATTTCCATACGTACTACTGAAACTAATCCGTATATGGTTTTGTTAATAAATATAATACGGAAACTTTTTCTTTAATAGGAATAAATAAAATAAACTTGTGTTGCTTTGTTACCAAAGAAACGACTTTAAAAGTTTATTTCTTCACAATATTAATTATTCTATTTTAACATATATTTATTTTTTACAATTTTTTAACAGAAAACAATTACATAAATGACTTGTCAAAATATTTCTTCTTTTTAACATGAACTAAACCACGGAGGTTTATTATCATCACATTAACATAAAAACTCTATAGACATAAAAAAGAAAATAATAACAACATTAAAATAATAATTAAATCCTAAAGAAAAAGTAATGTATTTTTCTTTACATCTCCCCCCCTTCGAGTAAGAAAATTTTCAGAGATAAATTTTCTTTAAAGGCTCCTTCACTTCTTACTTATCCTTGTTTTATTGGTATAGGGATAAGTTTTGTGACATGAAAAAAGTTTGATTCTGTTTTCTTGTGTCCTGTGTCAATCCTATAAATTGATTTTGAAACCTGTTCAATGATTCGAAAAGGTCCAATTTTCAGCTCTTCTAATTTTTTTCTATTTAGCTTATTACCATTTTCCACATACACCATATCTCCAACGTTGAATTCATGGCATCTCCTATTTTTGTCAAATATTGTTTTGTTATAGTTATGTGATTTTATTGTATTCTCAAGTGCTATTGTCCTATCCCTGATCCAGTTAATATGTGTATTCTCTTTCTTCAATTCTTCTGGCAAAACTGTAACATCTATACCATATAAAAGATAACTTGGTGAAAAACCAGTAACTGAGTGAATAGTTTGATTGTATTTTTTTACACATTCATGCGCTATTGTTGTCCAGGCTTTCTTATTTCCATCTTCATTAATTTTGCATCTGATTTTATTGACTAATGTCTGGTTAAGCCTTTCATTCAAACCATTAGAGAAAGGTGAGTTCACTGCAGTAAATACTACAGTAATTTGTTTGTCTTTTAGAAATTTCTTGAATTCTTTCGCATTAAGACCTGGATATTGATCTGTGAGTAGTATATCTATTTCGTCGGATTCTGATACATTGTTGACTAGTTTAATAAAATCATTTGCATTCTGAGTTTTTGACGTTGATATAAATGCGTATCTAGTGAAATGATCTACCAACAAGTGCAAGTATTTTTTTGTAGATCTTGAACCTCCAAAACCCCCAATTGTGTCTATGGATACTATTTCAAATGGTTTTGTGGCTGGCCCCAGATGAGACATAAGTCCAAATTTGTGTTTCCCCCTTGATTTATTCTTGATACAAATATCACACTCAATACATATTTTTTTAATATTTTTTGTTAAATTCCTTGCTGTGTATAGAGGACTTATTGTCTTCTGCAATTGTTTTATTCCAATATGACAAAAGTTTTCATGAACCATTTTTAAAAATTTGATACTGAATTCTTCTGACAAAATTATTTTTTCTCTGTTTCTAACTTTTTTATAATATATATCCTGTTTATTTATCATTCTTTCTTTATTATTTTGTATTTCTTCATTTTTATTCTGATCTCTTAAAATTTCTTCGAGATTTACTAAGTTTACAATCTTTAATTGTTCATTTGTATTTTCATTGGATTCCAACACAGGGTTTCTACTCAGGCAATCCGATTCCAAATTTTCCTTTCCTGGAGTATATCTAATAACAAAGTTATATTGGGACAAATAATAAGTTAAATCACCTAATTCTTCATCGGGTCTTGATTTCAAATTCAAGTTTTCTAACGGTTTATGGTCCGAATAAACTGTAAATGATCTGCCTATCAACCAATACTGCCAATACTGTATAGCTTCTTTTATAGCTAGGCATTCCAAGTATATTGCTTTTTTCTTCTTTTGAGACTCATTGAGTTTTTTAGAAAAGTAAGCCACAGGTTTTTCTTTTCCATCAGGTTGAATTTGTTTTAAAATTGCGCCAACACCTTCTATAGATGCATCCGTGTATATTTTGATAGGTAAATCTTTATCAAAAATAGCAAGCACTGGTTGCGAGCATAAGAGAGCTTTTATTTTCTCAAACGCATTTTGGCATTCTTCAGACCAAATAAATGGTTGATTTTTTCTTAATAACTTATGCAATGGATCTAATATTATTGCACTCCTTGGTATGTATTCATTATAAAAAATTATTTTTCCTAGAAATTGTCTTATATTTTTCTGCGTCTTCGGGGTAGGAAAATTTCTTATGGAAATGAGATTATCTTTAATTGGTTTAATAGAATTATTCCCAATTATATGACCGAGGTATTTTACAGAGTTTGATGCAAACGTGCACTTTTAAATTTTAACCTGAAACCTTCATGTTTGATTGCTTCTAAAAGCTGTGTTAGGTGAATAATATGTTGATCGAAGGACTGACTGAATATTAAAATATCGTCAATGAAATTCACAGCGAAATCTGTAAGTTTGTTCTTTCTTAGCACATTACTTAATATCCGTTGGAAAATAGCTGGTGCAGTTTTCAGTCCAAATGGCAAACAAGTCCATTGAAAATGACCATCTTGAGTGACAAATCCTGTTTTATTTCTGTCTTCTATTCGCAGGGGAATAGACCAGAATGCAGAATTTATATCCAGAGTTGAATAAAAATTGCAATTCCTTGTTTTAGTCACTAAGTCTTCTATTAAAGGAAATGGTTGAGCTTCTGGTACTATTATTTTATTCAAAAGAAATAAACTTTTAAAGTCGTTTTATAATACGGAAACTTTTTCTTTAATAGGAATAAATAAAATAAACTTGTGTTGCTTTGTTACCAAAGAAACGACTTTAAAAGTTTATTTCTTCACAATATTAATTATTCTATTTTAACATATATTTATTTTTTACAATTTTTTAACAGAAAACAATTACATAAATGACTTGTCAAAATATTTCTTCTTTTTAACATGAACTAAACCACGGAGGTTTATTATCATCACATTAACATAAAAACTCTATAGACATAAAAAAGAAAATAATAACAACATTAAAATAATAATTAAATCCTAAAGAAAAAGTAATGTATTTTTCTTTACATAAATAGAAAGTAGGAGTAAATAAAAATTTAGACTAGAAGCGGCGGCCTAGCCGAAGGGACTCAGGTAAGTGAGTGTAGGAGAGCCATGTTTCGGTACGAATGGGTCGGCTCGACCCGCAGTGATACCACGGCCTCGCAGAAAACCGACGTGAAACAACCACAGCGTTGTGTTTCGCCGTGTGAGTAACGTTACCGGAGGCCCAATCCTTCTCCTTCTCCCAATTCCTCCCTTATCCCAATTTCTTACTCTCCGAAACCCTAATACGCGCTAATAACTCTTCTGTTGTTGTGGCTGTCCATTGACGTCGCCGATTGCTTGCCATCAGGTAATTCGTTAGAACATTTACGGTCCTATCATAATAAAAATAAAATTTACAACACAAAGATTTCAATTCTTGATTTTGTGCATTATTATTACGCAGATTACGGAATGAAGGTTATTATTATTCGGTTCTCACTTCTTTGATTAGAGAAAAATACTAAAAAAGCCTATCGTTAGTCATTACTTCTCTATATTTTTAAGGGAAAACAGGAAGTCGATTTGATAAGCAAGACTGAACATGAAATACTAGTGCGAATTGCCTACACAAGAAACAATACGTAACTATGTATGAATATTATTTAAGTAGTCTTTTTTCGTCAGCATGTGTTTCAAGACTCTCGTATATTTCGCTTTTTTGTCCACATTCGGACGGCATATTAACTACCCAACATAGCATAGTTATACAAAAACATGTAGGTAGGTATAACTACATAAACACAATGTCTAAAGAGCTAGTTGCAAGATAAAAACAAATAAAATTACGTTTTATAATAGCTTTTTTATTATAATGTAAAAAATAATAATACTAAGCGAAGATATCTGTGCGCTTTTTAAGAATCTGTCAGCAAAACTATGGAATTTACTTTTTGGGGCGGTATTTTCGAACCAATACGACTTTCGAACCTTCAAAAAAACCTTCCGTTTAAAACGAGCGTACCTACCCGTTCTTAGAGGCCGGCAACACAGTTATGACTCCTCCAATGTTGCGGGTGTCTATGGGCGGCGCTGATCACATACCATCAAGTGATCCTCATTGTGATCTTAACCCCCTTAAATTTCGATGTGGTTTATTTGTTTTGGTAATATCATTCGTATTTCTGCCGTCTACGAGTGTTGACTACTTAGCCCACGGAGTAGCTCTTACTCCGTGACATAGCCAGACTAATCCCTGCTCTCCCTTGCTACTGATCCCTACTCTTCTGCGATAAGGCCCCAAGCTAGGGCAGCATTTCTTCTGTATTTGCTTGTATGTTTGTAAATATTAAAATAGTCATGAATTCTAAATTAGATTCTCTGTCATTTATATTATACCTACAAGTCTATTGTAAATTAATGTTTTTAATTGTTTGTTTTCCTCTTTTTGTATGCAGTAAAAATAATAATTTAAATATATTTTTGCATAATCAGCTGTAGCGAGAATGGGTAGGTACTTAAAAAATAAGTTTATATTTCAACGGGAAAATTCACTATAGCTTGGGGAATTCCCGGTCGCACATAACACGTCATTTCATATTCTCGATAAAAGAGCAATTAGATTGCTCACACTCAATAGTTACTTGTATGAAGTACCTACTTAAAAATACAAAAACATTAATTTCCATTAACACACAAGTACCGAAACGTCAAAAAGGAAATTTACATTATACTCATTATAAAGCAGTTTGTTTGTGTGTTTGACCGGGCCAATATCCGAAACTACTGGTTCGAATTGAACAATTCTTTTTGTGTTTGTTAGTCCATTTATCGAGGAATGCTATATGCTATAAAACATTACGCTACGACATATAGGAGCCGAGCAGCGGGTGAAACCGCGGAACAGTAGCTGGAACTTAGATATACATTGTCAGTCACCACCGTAAGCACGGGCCTGCGGTCGGCGAGTAAGGGCAGCTCGCCGCCCGACCAGAACCAGGCCCGAGCGTACGGCGCGTAGCGTTCCGCGCGCGCCTCAAAGAGCCATTAGACCACCACAGATGGGGCCCTAAAGGGCTGATGTTCAGCCGGGGTTGCGGGGTAAGCGCAATGAGGTACCGCGACCTCGGCACAGAGCAGGAGAAGGAACAGGGGGGTTTTTAGTCAGTAAGAGTCTGACACTCCCTCCTGCCCGGCCCACTAGGGCGGGAGAAGTCATTTGACGATTTTCCCCTCACAAAAAAAAAAAACATTGTCAGTCAGTCTGTTCTTGTGTGAGCTAGGTGCTCGTTCTAAAACTTTTTTACATATTTAGAGGTTTGCGAGTCTTTGGGCTTAGGAAGTCCTTTTCCCTTCCTAGGAATTACTTTTTTTATGGTATAGGAGACAAACGAGCCGACTGGTCACGTGATGTTAAGTGACCAGCGCCGCCCATGGACATCTGCAACACCACATGGAGTAAAGGGGCGCGATGACGGCCTTTTAAAAGGAGTACGCACGTTTCTTGTAGTTTTGAAGGTCGTATTGGTTCGGAATTACCGCCGTCGAAAGATCATAAAAGCCAGAACTCGATAAAAAACCATGATGCCTAGGACAAAGTGCTTGTGAGAGAACATTTTAATATTGATTACGTTAGGAAAATGTTATATGTTGTTAGCGAGTTTTTTGATCGTGGATGTCGATACCTACCCGTGCGAAGAAGGGTCGGGCCAAATATATTTTTTTTTATTAAAAAACCTTTGCCTAACATTAGGATTTTCTCTTGTGTCGTGTGTGCGTTTACAAACATGCAAATCACGCCCAGACTCGGAACAACAGTCTGTAGATTACACAAAGAGTCTTCCTTGCAGAAAGCGAAACTGCGACACGTTGGGCGGACAGCTAGTTGCCCAGCTACCGCGCCAACCGTGCAGTCAACAATATTTTTTTTTCCAATAAACTTGAATATCTCGACTAAGGGGCCTAGTGATACACACGACGACGACCACATTACAGTATCCTTTCTACTACTGTTCAGAGTTTTCGACAACCGTATTGTACCCTTGTTCAGCAATAATTGAAGCAACATGTTTACACAAGATGGAACAAATTCGATTCAAGTGGGAATTATCAATTTATTAAACAACACTCGATAACGAGTCTAGATAGACGCACGCCGCTCGTTCACCAAAATATCGATAAAACGCAAACTATTTGTCACCGCGGACTATTTTATTAATATTATGAACGGTACCTGTGCACCTCATTTTTATGAAAAAAGAAAATCGTTCATCAGTTCATTTTTTTGAAAAATTGTAGTCTATACTCATATTATAAAGAGGTAAAATTTGTAAGTTTGTATGTAGGGGGTAATCTTAGGAACCGCTGGTCGGATTTCCAAAATTCTTTCACTGGTAGATAGTAACAATGTCCCCGAGTACTATAAAACACCACGTTACGATTAAATGGAGCCGAGCAGCGGGTGAAATCGCGTGACAGTAGGTAGTACTAAATAAAATCAGTAATTGTAAAGTGTCGCAAATCCAGCATATATTATATAGGTATCAGCAATGATATTATATATTAACAGATATGTTATAAGCGCGCAAAAGTGAAGACTCGAAAAAGATACAAGTGTATGCAACTGCAATTAGTCTCTCTTAGAATGATGTTTGTTTACGTTGAGTATGTAATTGATAACAATAGCTAATTCGTTTTTCTTGTTGGATTTATCATACTATCCTTTTTCTACTATTTTAACTTGTAGTAACATGTACAATTTATGAAAGGTATGTGAGTGTGCTCACGCTTGGCGCGGAACACATTTTTCGCCTTTAAGGGTTTAAGAATTAGAGTATTTGGGGATTGCTGAAGAGGGAGCGGGAGATCGATTTATATAAATAAATTAATCGACTAGTCGGGCGCGAAACATCCTGACCTGAGTGGTACTTTTTTTAACTTAGAATTTAGAATGGATACTATTGTGTTCTTTATTCTTACACATATTCAACATTGTGTTGACGTCTAGTTCAAAATAATGAATAAATGATTTGATTTATTTATCCTTAATTAAAAAAAAATGTAATTATTACATTATTTTATTGATGGCTATGCCAGTTTGATTTGTTCCTGTTGCCCTATGAATGGCCTTTAAACCCATTGCATAGGCTTTTTTGCAAGTTTATGGATGTGACCTAGCTAAATGTTGCCATTTTAAGATTAAAAAGATAATTTAATGTCCAGCCTGATTGAAATCCTTTTGGAATAAGTTTTTAATCAGGTGACTGTTTTTTTTTTATTATTTCTTTCCCTTTTTTAATTAATGTTTATTTCTATTTATCTTGATTAAATAATTTGATTCAGCATAAATTTTTTTGAAATGTTCAGCCAAGCTTTTATTTTATTTTTTAAAGTATAACTAAAAGCAAGTTCCACATACAATAAGAAGCCTATTTATATTGTAAAAGTTTACACATAATATTTAAATATAAAATTAGTCTGTTTTATTATTTTGCTGCTCGAATATAGAATTTTTGACATTGATACAAACAACAAATAACATATTTCAGAAATATTTTTAAAGTATTAGCAGTATTGTTTTATATTTATTATCTCATATTTTAATAAAGTTAACATAGTAAAAAATTAATAATTTATAGCGAGCAACAACCTAGATGCTCTATGGGAAATCATGTACATAGCAATATAAAATATAAAAAAGGTAAATATTTCTACTAGCACTTATTATTTCATTAGCAAACAATTGTAAAATGCAGAACTTTAGTCTGGCAATTTAAATTTTAAAAATATTTAAATTTTAACACTTTGCACAGGCTATAAGTATTTAATTTTTCTATTCAACAATATTCATATTAGGGAATGACTTGCATGCTACTGTAACAATGTATATCAACATATGTCAACATATATTTGAAGAAATTAATTGTATATTGAATAATATTACAACTTTCATTCACAAATTCATACTTTAAACTGTCCATAGGACAAAATCTAAACTTTCTTCTGTAAAAACAAAGTCAGGTTAAACTTGTTTTTATGAATTAAACCTGCCTAGCTAGACCTATAGCCAAGTTCTTGTCTAATATTTATTTATAAAGGTTGATGTTTCGAAAGTTTCCCTGAAATTAATTAGGAAAATTGTATTGAAAACATACCCATCTTTGTCAAATGTTTCATAGCAGGCGTCCATGTCGCTGCAATCGAACTCGTCGACTGGCGTACCGTTACTGTCTTCCAACATTGGCGATTGGATCGAACTGAGCCGCCAATCCTCGCGACACCCGCTTATAAGCACCTCAAGCATGACTACTATGCGTAACCTTTTGTGACCTATAATGTAAACAACACTTAGTTACGAATTTATTCACACAAAATTACCAATATTTGACCCGATTTTCAGTAATATTTAAGCGTACATACCTTAACAATATATTTCATAAGGCTTTGATTCACGCTCTTTCTAAAAATTATGGTGAAATCATTTCCAAATCGAATAAGTCGCCGAAAGTGTGTGATGAGAATTGACGTCTAAAACGGGCAAATTGTCATGTCAACCTACTGTCACACTGAAAATAATGTCAATATTGTCAATGTCAATTATAACGTTCCTATTTCCAAAATCTTAAGATCGTTGGATTCATATTAAAACGATTCAAATAAACTTGAAAACTTGATACTCGTTATTTACCCTGTATAGAGTTACATATTAGGCAATATGGATTAAATTCCAGCAGCACTAAAATCTTCTCCTTCCTTTAGACTTTCAGGGTTACCAATTTAGGGAGTCTTTGAGTCCGTCAGTTTACCCCTACCTAAATTATTATTATAGGGTAAATATTTTGAGAGGAATTTTATGGGGTAATTCGGTTTTCACTTTTTACTTATATAAAATATATAATTTTATATGAGCATATATCAATATCTATAAGTTCCATATTATTATATAATAGCTCCCTATTTTTAATATTTCTTTTTCGTTTTTGTCACAGTATTTGAAAGATAACTTTTAGGCATAGACTATACAATATATACTAAGACTTTTAGGCTCAAATATTTTTTAACTTGGCAACATTGCTATGAGTTTGTCAGCGTCATGCGTCAATTTTCATTTCGCGTCAAGCAAGCTCCAGTGGTGCACAGATTAAAAATATATGTTGCCGCGAGCGAGCGTCAGCTGCGTCAGTGAAAATTTTTCGCTTTGCTTGCGAATGTTTGTATCAAATTACGTTGAAATAAATATTCGTGTTAAATGAACGTTAGTGGTGATTTAGTGATTGTGATTCGTTAGTTTCTGGAATAGTTAACTGTTTCTGTGACTGTTGAGGTTATCTGCCGCGAGAATACCAACAGTTTTGCAAGATGGTAATAGAGAAAGTGCATGGTCTTCATTCTACGGGAATGAGCCTCCATGATCGGTTCTCGATGTTGGCAAGTGCAGCACCGGATCGCGTACTTCAGCGAAAGAGACGCGCTTCAGTGGGGTCTCTAATAAGCCAAAATTACAACTACAGCAACCGTTTGATTGAACAGGTCGCTCGCCGGTTAGAGATGCAAGCTAAAAGGGTAACTATGCGCTTTAATACTCTTATACTACGCTTAAGTTTCGTATTAATACGTTTGAAACATAATTTTATAAAAATACCACATGTGTCTAAAGCCAATTTCTGTGAAAACAAATACCACACGCCTGGCCTTGATGCACCATGTTATTATTTGTAGTTCATTTATTAAAATGATATTCCTTGTAAAGTCACGATATGGTAATTTTCTCACACTTTTTACTGCTTCTTTATATAAACATTGAAGCATGGTGTTTATTTGCAAGCCAATAATAAAATATACTAAACTTGTTTACTCAATATACAAAAATGGGATTTTTATTAGTAATTAACAAACCTGTAACTTAACAAAAATTGCCTCAATTTATTAGTATTACATTGTAAAATATACATTTTAGCATAATGTTGGAGCATTGAATATTTAGCTAAAACAAAAACTTGAATTTTTGTAGTAATGCAACATAAACAACCAACTTCAGTTATAAAGCCTATTATTTATCAGTTCTAACCATTTCCAAATATTAATAAAACATATATTTTTACAATTCCAGCTAGCACTGAGACAGCGGCTAGGTTATCAACAGTCCAATTTACGCCGAGTTGGTAGTGAAGGCAACCTGTCAGGTCTGCGTAGATCCAACAGTTTCGGTAACCTGAGCCAACAGAGTATCAAGAACAGAGTCGCTTGGAGACAGTCAAACAATAATCTGAGGTAAGATAAAGACCATGCTAGACACTTCCAGAATCCAATTAGTGGAATGATTGGAATGGTTTATTTTCTGCTAGCCACAATTAGCCAGTATGTAAAAACAATTGAAATATTGAAGTCATGTGATCCAAGGAACATGAATAGCTGTCTTGGATTAGATAGATAATATTAGAGGAAAAGAAAACAACACTAACATCAGAATGAAATAAAATTGTTTGAATGGCATGGATATTAATAATAAAGTTTTAAGTTCTATCACCAACTTGGAAAGGTTTTGGGCAACATTATTGTATTATTAAAAAAATAATTAAACAATAATTTTGTATAAATTAGCACTTGGTGTAAAAATATCAGGTGCTACCCGGTAGTTACATACTGGCTAGTTTAGGCGAGATTGTTCCGGAGCTGTGAGAAATCTCTGAGTAAACGAAAAATAATTTAAGTTTGCAGGTTTTATTATGTATTGTGTCTTATACATTGTATGCCAGGTATTGTTTATATTGTCTAATTTATTTATAAGTAATATAACTCTAATATTGTCTATTTTCCTTCTGCAGTAGGTCAGCTTCCTTCAGCAACCTCGCCAATCTAGCTCGGCGCGCTCGACCAGCACGCGGGTTTCGCAAGCGCGGTGGCGGCCAGAGAGCATTACGGGGCAAGATCAGGTACAGTGGCACTATTCAATTTACATTTCATTTAAGAGCAGATCATCCTATATCTTTCAGAAAACTTTCTGACTTTCCTAGACTTCATTCAAAAGTTACTTTAATCTTTCAGGACTGGTCGTCAAGTAGGAAACCGTCAAGTTGGTCAGTTAAGGCTGAGGAATGGTTTGCAACAGAATGGACAGCGTCGTGGTTTCCAGCAACGCCGAGGAATGCGCCGCCGCGGTGGACAGCAACAGAATGGGCAACGCCGTCAGACCCAGCAACAGAATGGATTCCAGACACAGGGCAACAAGCAAATGGGTGGGGCACAGGGACAGCGAGCACAAACAGCACGACGAGGCCGCGCGAGGGGACGAGGTAGTGTGCTTACTAGTTTTGATGATGTGTTTGAAAGATTTTGTTATAGTATTTCTTTCTAAGTACTAAAGTAAAAAAATGCCATACTTGTCAAGCTTAGGCTTAAAATTAACATATAAAAACATTTGCTAAATTCTCCAAAATGGCTGGGGTGTAGTAATTCTAGCATTGATTGTAGTAGGTTTTAAGTACACAGCCTACAGAGACATTTTGGTAAATGCAATCGTGGCAGACCAAAAAAATAAATAAAGTATTGCCAAATCATTTTCTCCTGTGTCATTAGTACTTTTGCAAACATACTAATTAACATAATATACTAGTCATCCAGAACGGAATCAACAATTGGATGTGAAGTGTTGTTCTGTGCGGGAATCGGCCGTGACACGTTGCACAGCAGCCAGATACGCAGCCGCTGCGCCATCCGCGTAATCAAAAGCCAACAAATATATTGTTAAAAAAAATAAAGTAAGTAGAGAAAATTTAAATGTTTATTTCTATCATTCCTCAGGTGGCATCACGCGCAGCCAGTCACAAAACCGTATTCTCACCAAGGAGGAGTTGGATGCACAACTGGACCAGTACATGTCATGCACCAAGGCAGCTTTAGACCAAGAGCTAGACAACTATATGAAAAACGCCATGGAGTTAGAGTGATATAAACTGTTAATGTGACTTTGTGTGTGTATCCTGGTGATAAAAGTGGATGGGTGAGACTTTTGTACTAATTCTCTTTGACTAGTTTCTCTAATATAGACCGAGAGCTTTCCATGATTTGTTTGACATTTCAAGTAGAGCTCTGTTTGTTGTTTATATCATAATCTGCTATTAGCCTTATTTTGTGACGTCATTTGGACGTAGTTACGCAAAAAAGTTTACTACCATTTGGTCGAAAATTATCTGAATATGCCAAATTGATCCTTAAGGTCTATATTTTCTAGGTCTACATTCAAAATATGTTAATGAATAATGGTAAAATAAATAATGACCTTTTTAATATGGGGGAAGGAACTCAGCAACACCTGTGACAAATTTTTAGTTAAATTCGGCAAAAACAATCCCAGCTGTTTGGATCACTTTGAAAAAATATAAGAAATGGAAACCGTCAACAACTTACAACTTAAAATAAATCCAATCCACTTGGATCAATCTCCAAATCAACAAAACCAAAAACTAGAATATCAATAAGCATAAACCATTTAAACTTGTAAGCTTAATTATCTCAAAAGTGTCATTTTGAGAGTTGCTTTCTTTTTGTGTAACTACGTCCATTTAATACATTGCTGACGGTGACATCATCGCTATAGGAATTGTGTAGTAAATTATATTGCAATAATTCATATCTTTAATTGTTATTGATTAACTTTTGGCAGGTTTTGTGTACAGTTGTTCTAATCTTAATTAGTTTACTAAGATGATGTGTGTAAACTACTTTTTACCTAAAACTGGTTGTACTGTTATTCTTATAAATGTAAATATATATTAAATATAGAATTGTTTGTTTCTTTTTTTTAGTTATATAAAAGAGATTTAATATTTAGAGTTATTAAATTCTTAGCTGATCAAGTTTTACACGGAGATATTTAATTATTATTTTAACTAATCCTTAGTAATAATTGTGTGCCGAAACTTATTGCTAATGAATATGTTAAGTAATAATTAAATTACTCTCTCTGAGTTGTAATTAACTATCTTAGCTTTTAGTTAAATCAACCAGTTTTAGGTGTTCAACTCCTTATGGCCTCATTATCATTAGTCCATGATGTAAGCTATGAGCGTTCCTACATATGAAAAATGAAAAGTTAAGTTCTTACAACGCCTATTAAAAGCAATAAAATGTACCAAGGAAAATGTTAACATATTATGTCACTTTCTATGTAAGATTACCTAGTGATCCGCTCGTCCTACTTTTTACTCGCTTTCCCATTTATTTTTCAAAATTTTCTCTCAAAAGATAACAAATATAAAAAGAAAGGAATCAGCTAAATCGGTTCAGCTGTTACCGAGATTTCCGCTCAGCAATACATTTAGACATTTTTATTTATTCAGATGGAATAGCTAACCTGGCGATATTGGTACTGCCTCAAAAAGAGAAATATCAGTTTCAGCAATCCTTTTGCTAACCCTAACCAATCGCAATATCTCCAGAACCCTAATCCCTAAAAGGTCGGTAACGTACTTGTAACTCCTCTGTTGTGGGCATCCACCCATCCATGTTCATGGGCGACAATGATTGCTTACCATCAGATAGTAGAGATGCTCGCTTGCTGACCTATCTTATAAAAAAGTTGGTTTAACCTTAAACCATAAACGTTTAAGTTTGAATTATGAATGTGGGAGGGCCAAGCTTCGGCATGAATGGGTCGGCTCGACCGGAGTGATACAACGGCCTCACAGAATACCGGCGTGAAACAACTACAGCGTTGTGATTCGCCTTGTGAGTGAGGTTACCGGTTTCCCTATCCCTTCCCGATCCTTATATCCGCAACCCCTATCCCCAAAAGGCTCTTAACTCCTTTGGGTGTCCATGGGCGGCGCCGATTGCTTACCATCAGGTTATCCGTCGGCTCGTTTGCCGACTTACACCATAAAAAATGAACAAAAATTATTTTGTATAAAAAAGAAGTGTTTTTTTTTGTTTGCTGAGCAAAGGCCACTGGGTTCGACAGCTGAATCTATTTTCGTGATTTTTTTGTTATAATTAGTGTAGCAGAAAAAAACACAACCTAAAAATATATTTTATTAAGACTATCTCAAATCAAAAGTACTTTTAAGTAAATTATAACAGTGCTCTAATTTACATGGTAAATGATGGATGTGGCATTTAATATTTCCACTTCTGTTAAGAACTGTGGAAAAGAAAAGGTGTGATATTTCGTTCTTTATTGGTTAAACAACGAAACCAAGTCTTTCATTAGTCTATTCGCATTTAAAACCGACTAACCATGAATTTAAAAATGTTTTGATTGTTTTTTTTTTATTATATTTAAGTAGTGACTGTTCGGTTGATAGTGTGATTGAAAATAGTTTGTGAAAAGTTTGTGAAATAAACTATATCATATGACGTCACATTTTTGTACAATGAGTGGATGATTTTTCAATCGTTACATAAAAGTTACCTGGGGAGTAATTATGATGCTGTCACGTCAGAATGTTTGTATAAGACAGTGACAGCAACAATTTTATTCCTCAGATAACATTTATCTGACTATTGAAAAATCAGCCCTTATACGAATTGTTAATATAGTTTAACTATAGCAGTTCAGTTTCTTATTTATCTGTACGCTAGGAAAGTTAACGTCGTTTTGCTCACCAGATGGCGCTTTGGTAGCGTAAGGTCCAGGTTGTAGAAACTTTTTTTGACAGCTCATTAGATTATCAACAAACACGACCCCATGCTAAGTTAATTTCCTCTGTAGAGTAAAAAATGGTAGCCCTCATTACCGAAATGGTATTTGCTACTTTGACATATTTTAGTTTTTACGCACCATTACTTTTTTATTTTGCTGTTATTATTGACTTTAATAAAATTAGCGTCTTTTACGTGTTAAGGTTGATATTACAAATATAAAGTTGCATTGTGATTACATTATGTAAATTTATTTAGGTTTAAAATTACTACTAGTAGTAATTTTAATTACTACTTTTAATTACTACTAGTAGTAATTTTCCGTCACCTAAAACCGCACAGCACTTGTGACTTCTCTGAAGTTGCGGGTAATCTGTCTCACACTTTTTAATTTTTTTTTGAGTTGAAACCAAAAAGTTTGGATAATTTTGTTCTTTATACCTCTTCTTAAATTGTATGTACAAAATGGCGTTATTTTTGTTTATCAGTAGGGAAAAATCATTGTGAAGAAATAACTAATACATATTGTGTATATTATACACGTCTAGTTTATAATAATTACCAAGTACACGGTCTAATTAAGTAAATACATGTAATTAGATCCTGATTAGCGTACATTTCTGTGTAAATATTTCTAGTTTAGAATGTATGGAAACAGGATTACTTGAACTGTTTAAAAAAAGTCGCCGCTCACTCAGTTCATTATTATGAGCCCCGGCGTGACTTGAAAATTATCGAGCTTTCCTCGATAAGTCGTCAGTGTTGTATGCCTCACTATAGTGATTACACACATGTTTAATTAAGAAAGTATAATTAAAGTACTTATGTTGAGTATAGGTCCTTATTATGATTTCTAAAGAGCCGAGTGCATTGTTGCAAGTTCTATCTCACATGGAGCAACGCTTTATGTGACCCATAAATATATGTTTAGTGAATTAGTATGTTTGTAAACGCACCATCGACACAAGAAAAGATTATTAAGTTTATTTTCTTTAAAAAGGGAAAGAAACGTCTTTATGATATCAGAAGAATTGGCAGGTCATTAATTAATATTATAAATAACTAAAAAAAATTTCTGGTGGTCCTAGATCAAGGTTATGTCTCATAAAGTGTTCTTTCCTCGACTAAGGACAAATTGGGATTGATGACACCTCTCGATTAAAAAAATGTTTTTGACTTATATGTATATTTTATTGTTTTGTTTCTTTATTGGTGTAGCCGATTTCTATGTGTGTTTTTTTTATTTTATTCATTTTGCAGTGTCCCAAGAATTTTGAGTTAATAACAAATTATAGCTATAGCGTTTGGAATAATTTTTGAAAACAGCTCGCCTCTTTCATATTCGCCAAGAAATGAAATTATGATAATACATTTTAATTGAATTATAAGAAAGTCATAGTTCAAAAAAAAAAAAGAACAATAGGAATCGGCTACTTGTGCATTTTTTATAACTAAATCATTTTGTTATTTTATTAAAAGGTTTCATAATTAATAAAAGAGAAACTTAATTGGTCTGTGATCGTTTTGTCTATGGCCGTCGAGAGCCATGATGGCATTGACTATTATTGTTTTTTTCCTTTAGCCTCAAAGTATCTTAAAACTTTTGGGGTTGTAGGTTTTGTATTTAGTTCAACCGCAGACTCGAAGCGTCAATTTAAAATGCATATAATATTTGCACATAGCTTAATTGATAAACAATTCTTTCTTGACATTTTAAAAGGACTAAAATTAAAGTGACTATTCATAGAATTCTGTTTTTTCATGTGATTTGCTTTTATATTTTTTTTATTAAACTTACTTATTATATCTGTGCTAATGTAATTTGACCCTTATTTGTTATAGATTACTATAGAAAAGTGCCTGAGTTTCCGTCTGAGACTAGTCTTAAAGTTTGTTTCGACCTAATTGTCTTAGTTTTAAGGTTAAAAATTGTTAAATATGCTTCCACTTCTTTTTGTACTCATTAAGTGACGATGTCACTGTGATACCATTGATGTAAATACATTATGAGATGTGAGTGTGCATAATAAAGACTTACAGAAATATAATTTAGTTTCCTTTTATAACGAAATCACTATAAATAAGTGTGGGAGATCGGCGCTTCGCCACAAATGAAACAACTCGACTGAAGTAATCACGGCCATGATCCATTTGGGGAATATTTTCATTATTTAACATTACCAGTGGACATGTGTACACGATTTGCTATGTTTTTGGTTTAAGTACTTAAGTTTTAAGCCATTTTTCAATTTTCACAATAAGTCCTTGAAGATATTCGATGTCGTTACTGGATTCGTGCGTGAAGATAATAAGGCTGAGTCATCTGCATAAGTTGCACCCGTTGTATGGTCTGTTGTTGGTAAGTCAGCAGTAAATATGGTGTATAGAACTGGTCCAAGCATACTTCCTTGAGGAACTCCTGATTTTATCGCATATATGTTTTAACGATTTCTTCGTGATATTTCAATTCAAAGCATCGATTGCTAAGATATGGTAAAAAGAGAGACTGTGTGATATGGTAAAAAGTTTACAGCTCTATCGATAAAAAATAAAATAAGTATCACACTCGATGCTATTTTCAACATTGGTTCTGTTGCAAATCTTAACGTCTCTTTCTCCTCCCTAGACACGAAACGTGGAATGTATATAAACGTGTGTTCGACGCAGTATTATAAGAACATTGTTGCTTATTCTTCTTCATAGAAATCTCTTAGAGATATACATTGGTAAAACAGAGAAGCCAAGCTTCAACTTCTCATGTAAACAGGAAGAAAAAGTGAGAATATCTCTTTCTGTTTTATTTTGTTCGTGTGAAGTTAGGGACAAATGTGCAACATTTTCGAGCTAACGTCCCTAGGTGGGTACAATGTTTGAAAGGTTATTTAAATCCTGGCTTAAACGATTTAATAGGTAAGTATTCGATATTTTGGTCTTATAATAAGTTTTCGTAAAAATACCTTTTTGTTCTTGGAGCTTATTGGCTATGTGCAAAGCGAGTAGTGGCCAGATACGACCGCAGCGCACAACACGGCAGAATTTGGAAACAAATGCGGATGATCAGCTGTCAGTTTTTATAATTACATTTTACAATAAAACTATTGAATAAATTGCACTCAAATAATGTCAACAACAATATTTTAATCTTTGGTTTTGTTTATAATTATTTGGAAAGAAAATTATAATGCTTAAGTACATTGTTATTATTTGACAGCTTCCACAAATGTTGTAAACGCTACGCGTCGCCACCGTCGCGCACTAAGTACCTACTCAAAAACAAGCAATTCTCATAAGAATCTATATAATATACAAACAGTAGGTATGTGTGTTTGTAACTAAAACACTCATATATCATTCTGATATGAAACAATTGAAAGAGGATGATATGTATCTAATATTGTACATTTTATTTGTAACGGTACTTCAGTCGGTCCACATGCGTGCCATTTGTAAGGGTTTATTTTAAAAGTCATGTTAGTCACAAAGTATTGAAATTATATCAATGCACGCGGCGAGGGACGAGTACGCCGCCCGTCCCGATGTAAGCTGTAATGTTGTTGATATTCGTGATCGGTCAAAGAATAATTATACCTACCTAGCAGATAAGATGATGACGATAAGGCTAAACTTTTTAATATTTTTTTTAATGTACCTAATTTTCAAGGAATGGATTTCTTTATAGGTGTGATCAAAAAATTTAGAATGAGTCTTAGTACAAAAATTCAACCATCAAGATTCTAGTGTTGATTATTTGTATATCAACCTACCTAC